TCCATAAGCTTAGTACCCTAACGTTCTTCTGTCTCTTTGCCCTCCTTTTAGAAATGGATGATTAGCTTCCTGTTGATTTAGCAGGCTTGGTGGATTGTTCTTTTTTTTTAATTTGTTTTTATTTTTTTAAAGGTTAACAAAAGGTTTATTTGCAAGGGAAGGGGAATGAGGAAATGTACAACTCAGGGAGAAAAAAGGGAAATAAATTCTTAAATGTGTCCTACCCGTTCTGCCGACCTGGAATCCCAAATGACCTTCCAAGACCAAACTTGCCTGGCCAAGAGCACGAGCCAAGTGTGCCCGACCCTACTAACATGGCTGGTTTTTATTTACAGGCAGAGAAAATGGCTGCTTAACTCCACCCTTAGGTCCTCCAGTTTCCCTTTGAGTATCCTGGGATTTGTAGTTCCCAGTGTTTTGATGGAGTGGGGGTGACATCCACAAAGCCTGTGTGGAATTAGCTCAGGACATCCTTTCCCCCTAACAATTCCCCCTTTTCACTTTTTGCCACCATTTCCATGGTGTTGAAGATCAAATGTATGGATGCTGGGGTGCAGTCTTAGATGAAAATTTTTCTCAGGGTTCCCATTGGAAAGCAAACCAGTTTTTCCAGGTTTTGTCCACTGTGAAAAGCAAAAATGGCCCCTAGCCCCATTAATAGGTTGAAACCCCACAATTCCCAATGTGATGTATTTGGAGATAGGGATTTTATGATGGTGATTAAAGTTAAATGAGACCATAAGCATGGAACCCTGAACTGATATGACAGGAAAGCTCTTTCTGTCTGCCTCTATTCTTTTCTTCAATTCTCCTCTCCCTCTATCATATAGGGGCACAGTGAGAAGGTGAGTATCCATGCCATAAAAAGCTCTCACTAAGAACCAATTGGACCACAACCTTGATTTGGGATTTGTAGTCTCCATAACTGTGAGAAAATAAATTCTTATGGTTTAAAACACCCAGTTTATGGTATTTTTATTATAAAAGATGTAGGTTACTAAGACTAGTGCTCAAACTGCTTTGTCTCCTTCCTATTTCGTTCATTGAACCATGTTCCCCCCTGCAGGTTTTGTCTATTTGTCTTTGTCCCAATTTTTATTTAAGAAAATAAAAAAGGACATAAAATATGTTCAGGGCTGGATGAGAATGTAATATTTTGCCCAGAGAAAAATTAAATTTCAAGACAGCATTCTGCAGGTGCATATTAAGTAAACTGGTGGGGAAAATGTAATTTAGGAATGGTGAAATTACATTTGAGTGGAGATGAAGTCATCTCACAGTGCCTGTGTCTGTCTCGAGATCATTTCCATTATAGATTCCTGCATGTGTCATGTACTAGCACTTTCTGCTATGTTTCTTTGGGTATCCTCAAGACTATATTCCTTAAGAATGATTTGCAGGTCAGTATACAGCTAGGGGAAGGATCCTGCAATCAATTATTGAAGATAGGACAAAAATAAAAACCATGAACATAGTGTTTCTTTTCATTTTTGACAAATTGGTTTCATAGAGTGCATTAGATAGTATAATGGGCTATTAAGTATGAGTTTTGATTATTAAAAAACAAAATTCAACCAAGATCTATTCTCCACTCCTCCAAGCCCCCACCTGGGGACATCAGCTGAGATCTAATTGGCTTTATTAAATGACTTTTGAATTGGTCAGCATCCCATCTAAAAAATAGAAAGTCTCCAGAGGAATGTATGAAATATCACCAAAAACAAAAGCCCCAGATGAGATATCTTTTCATTTCAAAGGCAAAGGAAGTTTCACTTAAGGAAATTACACACACACACACACACACACACATACACATCCAGGCTCAGTATTAACACATTACATTTTTTTTTTGACCAGAAGCTGGTGATTTAAGGTGTATATTTGAATGATATTATTGATATAAAACTAATTTTATAGGTTATATGAATTGTCATGAAACATTTTATTGCAGTTCCTTAAGCACTGTGGATTTCTATAGTAGTTAATGTAGTATTACCTACTATAAGATACAAAACCCTGCATTTCAGTGTTTTAGCAGGAGAGAAGTTTATTTCTTGGTGACCGTAAGTCCTCTCAGAGGGAACAGGTGTATGGATGCATGTGTATTCTCTGGTCATTTGGGGCTTCAGGCTGATAGATGCTCTTCCATTTTCTGTAAAGGTGTTGTTGTTGTTGGAGACATTCAGGAATCCAGACTGACAACAGCTCTGTTATTATCAACACAGATCCAAGGTCACCTTGAGTGTTGACATTTAGCTGATAAAGGAGGAGAATGCATGATCACAAATGATGTTATAATGCAAACCCAGAGGAATGAGCATGACCTGGCTGTGAATCATCATCCAGTTAAGGATACAGAAAAGATCCAAAAGCAGAAAGAAAGAGAAAAGAGAAAAAGATTTAAGAGCGTTTAATTATATAGGTAGTGGGAAAGGAACAACTAAGAGAGAAAGAGAAGAAAATTTATTGGCTGGTAGTGGCCTGATGTTGTCTTTTATATCAGCAGATCATGTCAGCTGAGCAAAGACCAGGGTGTGAGCAGAAGTCTAAAAGAGATACGGCAATTTGTACTATCTTTCTAAGGTCCACATGGCAGCTACTCACTGCCCTCCTTCCCAGCAGTCCTCCTTCAGGGAGTCTGGAAAGCTCTGCCTTTCACCATTAAGTTAGTTGTGAGTGGCCCCCATTGGCTCCGAGATTGTTCCTCACTGTTCCTCTTATAGTGAGAGTATTTTATGGGCCAAATATAAAAATATCTCAACTCACATGCCATTGACTATAATGTGACACCCCTGATTGCAAGGAAAGATGGGAAATGTAATCTAGCTTTTTTTTTTTTTAAAGATTTATTTATTTATCCATACAAGAGCTGGGGTGTAGGCCAGAGGTGCGGGGGGTGGGGGGGTGAAAGGATTCACCAGAGACAGAGTGGGGAACAGAACAGGTAGATTGACTGAAATATACTGCTGAGGGGAGCAGCAGGCAAGTCAGGAGAGGTCTGCTGCGCCATGTGTGTCAACTCCTTGGCTGGGGATTGAACTCGTGCTGCAGTGCCTGTGGATAGCTTCATAGTGCTGTGCTTAACCTTTGTGCCACCAGGGATGCCCCTACAGCCAAGAAGAAGCACCATCCTTTAGCAGGTATAAAATCAGAATGATATGTACAAAACATATAAAGATGCCTTGTCAGTTGTCAAACAGCTAGCATTTTGTATGTCTAAAAGAAAAGAACAAAAATACCTGTATGGCCCTCACCCAGATTTATATATATTTATGTTATACCATACTCATTATTCCAATTTATTTTAAGAAATAAAACTGTGTAGTTTGAGGTTCCTTAAGTGTTTCTTTCCAATTCCAGCCCATTGTCTCCTTCCTTACTGTCATAAAACTAGTGTTAATTATTCTTATGAACTGGCATCATAATTGTGTCTCTTAGATCACCAAGATCACAGTCTGTGATCACTTAAAATCCTTAGGTTTCAATTTTTCCATCTCAAAAATTCAGAAATGAACTCTGGTGTCCCCGCTTTGTGATTCTCTCTTTGCTCCTCCTTCCCTTGCCCCTCACCTCCCTGACTACATCAGAAAATGACTTCAAAAAATGACAGAACATTTAAATAAAGACTTGTAGAAGTGCAACAAAATTATTTTTAATATTTTCAAAAGTGAGGCAGGTAATATTTACAGAACTATGAAGAATATGTTTTAAGATTCTACTCACATTATAAATATACATATGTGAAAGTTATCTGCTTGTATGTGAAAAAATCAAAATCTATGACTCTGGTGGCAAGCATCTTTATTAAAAAAATAATATTTAAATAAATTAGTTAAACAATATTGTGAAACAAGTGCAAAATTAAGAGAGATAACATTTCGAAAAGAAACAACTGGAGATAACAGTTTCAATATATGCCCTCTTGAAATCATAGATGTGGGAGTACATGGATCGTCAAAAGAGAAGATGTATAGACATGATTCTAGAAAATTTTTTTTCTCATGACTAATTCTTTCTAAAAAAGCTATTTCTTTATATAAATGTATTTGTAGATAAGGTAAATTTTCTTAGTAAGTTGATAAAATTGCTTTCAAATCTACTTTCAAATCCCACTCTCTCCAAAGGATGGATTCCAACCTAGAGGGCATACTGATGTAGTTTTTTTTCTACTTCCCCAAAGGGAGTTTTATAGGAGGAGCCTGACAACATTTCAATTTATTGTTAGGGTAAATCCCCACGTAATACAAGTCCACGTTAACATTTCTTCCTTCTGCCCTTAATTAAAGGGTGTGGTAGTGGCTGAGAAATTTAGCTGTGGCACCCCCCACACCCCAGACTGTACTGAGCAATTGAGAGAGATGCATTCTGTGCCAGAAGAGGAAAGATGAGGTGGTACTGATGCCCCCACTTCCATGGACTGGCTGCACTGCTGGGGACAACTGAAAAAGCCTGTCTCAAGCATCCTCTTTCATTGTTTCCTATACCTTACCTTTCTTATCATACTTTCCTTAAGGAAGCAAGTGTTGGGTTTCTTACTAAATCCAGGCAACATGCTAAGCATTGGGGCTACAACCATGAAGATGCTAGACCTGCTCTTGAGAGCTCAAGAGTCCCGCAGACGTCAGCTGCATTTAGTATGTTTACCCACTCCCAACTTCATTTCCTCCCTCTGGGCATAGGTATCCCTATCTCTAGAGGACAGGATTGCTTGAGAGGATTTCTAAGATAATTAAGTGGGAACGTACCCATGTATCTGTGATTTAAGTTAAGACTGAGTAAAACTTATGGGACTAGACCTAGGAATCCAGAGTGGTAACAGGCTCCCCCGCACCCAGCACTCTCAATTCCTGGAACCCCGCTTCTGCCAGGAGAGCAGGGACCAGGGTGTGCTGATGCCCTGGCCCATAGTGGCTGCAGCCTGGGCGGTGGTACACACAGATTCTTGTTAGGTATCTCGGTCCTTTAGGACAAGAGCAGGCATCTGAAAAGTTCACTGTTCTTTATTCCTTCATTTCATTGAAGGAGCAGTAATTGGGCCCGAGGCCGCGCACAGTGCAGTCAGTGCTGTGGCTGTCGCACTTGCCACAGTGACATTCAGTGGCCACTGGATAGGTATACAGGGAGTCTGCGTGGTGAGCACAGCCAGGCACTTTCACTGTCTCGTACACCAGCTCCTTGAAGGTACATATTTTCTGGATATTGGGTCTCGCTGGGTCCTTGTATACTAGATCCTGAGGAGTTTAGGAAAGAGAGAGTTAGGTTACAATATTTTGGAGTTTTCTATTTAGCTTAATCAAAATGAGACAGGAATTTAATGCTGTTTGCTCTAACATTCACTCATTAAAGCTCACTTAATGGAATTCCTAGCCAAGGAAACATGATTTCATAAATGATCTATGTGTTATACCACATTTCCTGATTGTTCTGCAACTCTCATATTAAATATCATCCTTTTTTTCCTATGACTTATGTCTATATCAAATTATTTTCCAAACTATGGGGAAACTCTAAATTTCAATATAGAAAAAAGGCAAAAGGGGAAATATGACAGAATTTTCAAGTTGACTTTTTGTGTTTAATCTATAAATAACCACCTAAAACAGTGAGTCTATACTATCACCAACCTCTCTCCTCTGACCCCACACCCCCCACCCCAGCCTTCAACCACCGTATTTGTGGTTTTGCTTTTCATAGTTTCATTTATTTAAGGTCAGCTGCTGTGGTCCAACAATATTACATACAATAAGATATTTTGAATGAGAGAGACCACGTTCACATACCTTTTATTATAGTTTATTGTTAGAGCTGTCTTATTTTTAGTTATTGTTGTTAATCTCTTCCTGTGCCTAATATACAAATTAAAATTTCTCATAGGTATGCATGTATGTATATATAGTAAAATATACAGTGTATATAGTGTTTGGTAATATCCACATTTCCAGGCATCCACTGGGAGTCTTGGGATGCATCCTCTGCAGGTTAGGGTAAACTATTATATTAATGACAACTTAGACCCATAAAAGACTGAAGTTGAATTTCTCATAAAATGTTTCCAAATATATTGTCCCTGTGTCTTTATAAAAACTCAAAAAGGCCATAATATGACATGTTAATGTTTAGCTTAATGTGACTGTGAAGACTCACGTAAGATTTTAAATATTCCCTAGTCTTGTTAGACATCCTCCCTGCCACACCTTTTAATACTTTATTTTGCAAGACTCTCAAAGGATACATGGTTTGCATATAGGAATTTTTATTCATACAAAACAGGTTTGTTCCAACACTATCTAGTGAAAAAATTTTTTGCACCAAGAGAAGAAATTGGTGCTGCTTGTTTATTTCAGTATCATGCCACGAAGCCTATATTCCCAAGAGGTGCAACAAATTGTGCAGTAAGTGAAATTTGATCAAACTCATTTACTACCCAATAAAATATATTTCATTAAAATGTTTCAACTTTTAGTTTCAGTTCTCAGGATAAAATTCTGCATTGGTAATTAGGTGCTGTAACGGAAAAATGTTAAACAAAGAGAAACTGCCCCTTTATTTGACTTATGCCAGAAAGTACGTGAATATAAGCTAGTGGTTTGATACCTCTGTGCCTTAGTTTTCTTAATGTTATAAAGAAGTGAGTGGATTTGCAGGTTCATTTCAGTTCTAAGAGTATGTAAAGATTGATTATATTCTCAGGCTGCTTACTGGCATTGTATTCAGGCAGGTCCAGAAGGCAATTTTTATAATATGACTATTTTTAGTTGATTTGGAAACATTTTGATACATATTTATTGCAAAAATATGGCTTCAATTATAGAAATTGACTTTTGGGGAACATGCAGTTCTATTAAACATATATATTTACATGTTCACCTCTCTAAAACCTAGCATTGAACTAATATTTTGGAAATGCAGTTTACATATCACTAAATTGATCAGCTCGAGTTGGAGGCTTTCCTAAATCTCTTTAATCAAATCCAAGTCCAAACATTTAATTGATATGGTCATTAACCCCATCATATCACAGAGAGGATTGGCTAAGGGACTCATGGGTATTACTTGGGAAACTTAAAATTTTTATAAAATGAGAGTTAATAAAACTCACATCAAACAGACCCTCAACACCCTCACTTCAGCAAAACAAATTTGGTTCTTACCCGGGTGTAGCAGTAGCCTGCACACCACGTGGTGTTGATGCTTATGCAGAAGCGGCATTCCTCTTTCTCCACCGTGATGGTGATGTTGGTGAGCTCACAGCCACTGCAGCAGATTGCTTTCCAGCAACAGAAGAGGAAGCAAAACTGGAGTGACTTCATCTTGGACTAGAAAACAAACAATTAGGGCCCATGAGATACCAAAAATCTAAAGAATTACAGTTGTTTTATAAGTTAACCAAACCAAAAATAATTGGTTTACCCATCTTCACCAGTCACATTTTGCTCTGGCAAGTTTTTTTTTTTTCCTTTTTCTTAACTTCTTTCTTTCTTGAAAAAATATTATTATCCTCTTCCACCTTTTTTTTTTTTTTTTTTTTGTCAAAGTAGAAACATACTATTGGTCAAATCTCCAGTATAATTGCTTGAGCAGAACAATATTTAAATATTGCAAGTGTACTGCTGACTGTCTTAAAGTGGTCACTTTCAGGCAAATAATTGTCATCATCTTATTTTTCCATTCATTATCATGATAAATATTATTTTTTTTTAAAGAAAAAGATAATCCTATACTACAAAATCAATTCATCATTTTTAGCATTTCATAAATATTGCCTTTTACTTTTGCCCATCTTTGTTTTAAAAAAAAGTCTTTCAAAGGCCAGGTTAATTGGTCTATAAAATGTCAGTTTCTTACTAACAGTGATTACAGTGGATTTATCATATTTAAGAAGCCAGGCTAACAAATAGAAATTTCTTACACAACAGTAGTTGCAAAGCTAAAGATTGTAGATCCTGAAAAATCTGTAATATCAGAAGTAACTATCACCATTTGACAACAATAGATGGTGAGACTCACCTGTGGTTGACTGCCTTGTCTGGGGAAAGCTGTGATTGAGTTAAATCTCACTTGGACTTTTATACAAAGATCGTGTGCAACTAATACCTTGAGAATTTGTTGGGTATTATATGACCAATGCTAGCCCGAAGCTTGCTGTAAGTGAATCAGTGTTTAGATAGACAGGGAGATCAAGCTTTACTAAAATAGTCTAAACGCTCAGATCAAGAAAAATACTGTTATCAGAGATGATTTGTACAAATTAAATTTGATACACCAGCACACCCACTCCTTTACCTTTTTCAAATTAAATGCAGCTAGGTTTTTCTTTGCTACCGTTAACTCAGAAAATTCAGAATCCTATTCAAGTATTGCTTCAATCCTCTTGAGAAGTTATATCAAAAAGATATGGTTAATAAATTACTGCAGGAGCAGATTGAAAATGGTAAGGGAAGAAACAGAAATTTATGTCGGTGAATATCTGGAATGTAGGAATATTTTGAAATTTCTTGGTCATGATTTGATTCCTGTTCAAAATGTAAACCACCTTTCTCTCTACATCCCATGTGTATAAAACCCTGATCTTAAATGTTATTCTTTGATGCTATACTTGTATTTCTCTAGATGTTTTTTCCAATTCATTTCTCCAGATCTTTGCATGTGAGTGTTTATTCTGCCTGAAACATCCCTGTGTACTCCAACACCACTGCTACTCCTGCAAATTTCTAAACTTTAAACAATAGCCTGAAGTTAAGGATGAGAGATGAAGGAGAGCTTTAATAATGCTCCCCTCTTTATAATCACTTATATACCACTATTTCTCCCAGTAGACTGGGATTGATTTGTTTAACAAAATTTATTAATTAAGCAGTATAGTGGGAACCAAGGAATTATGACAAGAATATTAGGATATGATGTCAGGGATGAAAAAGGAATCAAATCATGGTGAAATTAAGGACAAATGACTCGCTCCAGACTATGGAATCTGTGAGTAGCTAAACAAGCACATGTGCTTGGCTCCAAAGTAGGGGTTTACTCAATGAACCATGCAAACCTCAGTGGTTTATAGTTCTCACCAATCCCAGTAGTTGGGAGGGGCCAAGACAGAAGTCATGGAAAACTTGAGCAAATATTCTAGATGTCTATGTTTATGCTTTCATCCCTAATAAACAGTCAGTACAAATACACTTTTGATGAACAAGTTGAGAAACAAATCACTTCTAGTTTCCCTTGGGCTAACCTAGTCTGTTTGCTAGCTGATATGTTGTTTCTTCTTGCTCTGCTCCCTTTTTGTGGCTCTCTACAGTGGCCTTCCCAAGGCAGTGTTTAGATGCTTTTACCTCTGATGGGAGATTGGAGAGTGAAAAGAAGTCAAAGCATGTCTGTCCTTTACATTGTGTTTCTTTTCCTGATAATGGCTACATTTTTTTTCCTGGGTCCAAATGGCATCATGTAACTCCTCCCTCAGGTTTCCTAGCTTTGGTGAGAAAAGTTTTTGTGACTTGAGCTTCTACTGGGTGGTCTCACCTTTGGATTCTAAAAATTCGACTTTCATCTCTCCAATCTCGAGGATCAATGGGGTTTCTCACTGTGACAAATTTTTGGGTTACCTTATTTCTCCTTTGTGTCTTCTGAACAATTATAACATTTGGGTAGCCAATTCCTTGGATTAAATTTCTTCATTTTACTTGTTAGGAGTGATTTCTGTTTTCCTGGTTGGTAGCTGACTGATACCTCACCTTTATTTCTAGCTCACTATTACTGGCTTACTAATATAGTACTATTAATTAACTCCTTATTTAATGAAATACTGAACATTATTCAGGGAGAACCTGTCAATTCCTTACTTTTTTTTAAAATTTAAGATTTATTTATTTGTTTATTTAAACAAGAACTGGGGTACAGGCCAGAGGATCAGGAGGCCCAGAGAATTCACCAGAGATGGAGTGGGGAGTAGAATAGGCAGAACGATTGTAAAAACTGCTGAGGGGAGCAGCAGGTGAGGCAGGAGAGGTCTGCTGTGCCATGTGGGTTTCTCCATGGCCGGCTGGGAATCAAACTGGCACTGCAGAGGGTGTGGACAGCTTTACAACGCTGTGCACAACCCACTGCGCCACCAGGGAGGCCCTCAATTTCTTACTTTTATTGGCTTGTAACATCTCCCCACTTCCCAAATCACATGAGCATTTTACCTCTTCCTTGAGGCATAGATGGTTCTATTTCTTAAACCTAAGATATGTTTCTCACCAACTTTTCATATAAACTACTCCTGTAAGCTCTTCTATAAGATTCCATTGAAAGAAGCTAGTTTTAGGAAGCTGTCACTCAGTCCATCTTATACATTGTATACTCCATTTTAAACTTCTCTCTTTCAGTCCAGTACTTTCTATTTTGTGTTTCCTTAGTTCCCATTAACCTACCTCAATGTTAATATTCATCAAATGATATTTAAAATTCAGAGCACACTTCCTATAAATTCTGGTGAACTCATGTACTCAACTGTGTGAGGATTCCTAGAATTTCTAACTATGCACATATTCAATGACCTACATCCTCCTTTCATTTTTGAAGAATTTCTTTCAAATCATTCCTTATGTTTGAGATTGAAAAATATGAAATTGTTTATTTTTAATACTCATATCTTGCTAAATTACATGCTCCAGTGGTCTGATATTCTTTTCCTCTTTTATTTTTGCTCCAGTGATACATATTTAATAAGTTTAAAAAAATCTTTAATATATTTAATTTTCTAAGTTAAATTTATCCACTTAATCATTTCAATGTAGTTATTTAAATTTATTTCCTTTATTGATAATATAAAGTAATATGTATCATACATGATATAATGGTTTGATATAAAGTGCTAAATTTTTATTATTTTTATACTACCACGTTACCCAACAAAAATATAGAGCTACCCTGTTTGATATAACTATGAGCTACATATGGGCAGATTAGCACTTGAAATGCAACTAATCCAAATTGAGACATACTCTATGTAAAAAAAAAAAAAAAAAAAAAGACCTACTGGATTTCAAAGATAATGCAAGAAAGTATATAAAGTGTCTCAATGATTTTTTGTAATGATTACATTGAAATATGTTATTTTGGATATAATAGGCTAAATAAAATAGGTTATTAATTTTACCTAGTCCTTTTACTTTGTCCTGACTTTAAAATATGGTTACTAGAAAAATTTAAGTCACATTAGTGGCTTGCATTATATTCTATTAAATAGCACTGCTATTGAACTGCTGGGTAATGAGTAAATTTGTACAGATCACAAGATCTGCTTGCTGGTCTGATGCCTGATCCTTGTGCACTACACATTGCCAGGCCAGGCCAACTGATATAGTTGTGAAAAATAATAAAATGAAAAGCTTACTGTTTGCCAATGTTTATTACTATGATTCAATAATGTACTTTATATTTTTCAGTGAAGGGGTCAGGAGGGTCAGTCTGCATATTAGCAGGTAAACTTCTTGTTCTCATTCACTCAGGCAGTCAGAGGAAACGTTAATTTATTTCATCAGATGAGACAGTAATACACTGTGAATAGCAGAAAAAAATCTAGCACTCATATCTGTTGCAATTTCTTTTCTTCTGTGTAAGAAGGAGCAAAATGGCAGAGTTCTGATAGGAATGCTTTTAGAGGCAATAATGGCACTCAGAATATTCTGTGATAGTGTTCCAATGAGTCATTCATTACATTTGGTATCAGTCAACTTATAATGCATGAAGCTAAAAATATTTCCTAGGCCTTACAGCAATTGTGTCTTGTGTTGAGTAAGCATTCAGTAAATACTTAAGGATTTTATTTTTGTTTAGATGCTGGTTGGCAGGTTTCTAGAAACTAAAGCATTAATAACGGTACATGCATCCAAGTAACAATATACTGATGCTTGATGTGGGCTATGTAGAAAGTATATTAATCTACTGATGAGCCAGTGTTATCACCAGTATAAAATGCAGATTAAAGAACTAGACATAAGACCTGAAACCATAAAATATATAGAAGGAAATATAGGCGAAACACTACGTGATTTGCACATCAAAGACATCTTTACAGACACATCACCCAAAGCAGTGATAGTGAAGGCAAAGATAAACAGCTGGGACTATATCAAATTAAAGAGCTTTTGCACAGCAAAAGAGACAATAACAAAAACAAAGAGAAACCCCACCAACTGGGAGAACATTTTTGCACCCAACACTAATGATAAAGGACTGATCACAAAAATCTGCAAAGAGCTGATGAGACTCAACAACAACAAAGAAAATAATCCAGTCAAAAAATGGGCAGAAGAGCTTAAAAGAAACTTCT